AGTTTTAAACGCGCAAGGAACTCTCAAACGCAAGGAGCTCTCACACGAACACCCCATCTTGAACACGACCATCGCTCCGTTCGTTTGTGCTGTCAAATATGAAGACAAAGGTGCGCGATGCGGACGCGACAACTCCATTCCCCTCCATCGCTTTAGCAGCTTGCGCAACGTGTTGAGACGAATGTGTTCGGCGCTGGGGCAAGAGCCCGATTTTTGAAACCACCCTCGATGCCAGAAACATCCGGAAGCTGTTGGACACTTCAAGGCGCATCCGCGCGGCGCTCAAGCTCGAGCCCTATTTGAAAAAGGAGCCGCCGTCCATTTTCGGAAATGGCAATTGCTGCAAACGTTGGAGACGAATGAGCGCGGTGCTCAGGAGAGAGTCTTATCTGAACAACCTTCCCCTCCTCTCTTGAACTCGTTGCAATTGTGTAAGACGAGTATGCGTGGTGCTGGAGCATGAGCCTCATTCTGAAAGCGATCTCCCTCCGTGCTTGAAGCTGTTGCGAACTTCTGAGGCCAATCTGCGCGGTGCTCAGGCGAGAGCTCCACTTGGAATTTCGAAGACGGCCCCCTGGATCATTGAAGCTGTTGCACATTTCAGGTCGTGTGTGCGTGGTGCGACGACAAGAACACCATTTTGAACAGGATCCGCCCTTCATCTTTGCATGTGGTGCAAAGTTTGAAGACGAACGTGCGCGGCGCTGAGGCGGCAGCCCCACTCTGAAAACGGCACCCCTCCATCCTCGAAGGCGCGCGGTCATAAGGCTTGAAAGCTGTTTTTGAGAATAACCCCCCTCAACCCTTGAAGCTGCAGAACAGTATGAAGACGAATGTGCCCGGCGCTCAGGCGAGAGCCCCACTTTGAGAACCATCTCCCCTTACCCTTGCAGCTGTTGCAGATTTTAGGCTTCAAGATCTTACAACGTCAGGAAGTTCAGTCGAAGCGCCCGGCCAGCCCCACCGACACGGTTGTGGGTGCGATCGGGAGGAGCTGTTTGTAAGGCAGCGCGGAGGAGGGCAGGACACGATAGGTGATGGTAACGGTGGTTGTGGCGACGATGCTGGTGGTGCAGGTGCGATGCTGGGAAGGGGGGTATAATAGGGGGAAGGAAGATACGTTTGGCAGAGGAGGGCACGCAAAGGAGAAAGAGGAGGAGCGCGGATCGGGACGGGAGGGCGAGTATGGTGGGGGAGGGGATGCGGATCGGGGGGAGGCCGGAGGAGGCGGAGGAGGTGGAGGAGGAGGAGGAGGAGGTGGAGGAGGAGGAGGAGGAGGTGGAGGAACAGGACGAGAGGGATGTGGAGCAGGAGCGGGTGCAGGCTGCGGGCGGGGAAGCGTGCGAGGGGAGGGCGAGTGAAGGGTGTCAGAGGCCAGCAACATAATGTACACGTACGCGGTTAGCTTCCCCTTGAGTGCGTGTCAACGCGGACGTTCGTGCAGGCAAGACCGCGGAGGGCGTACATGTACATATGTCGTTGCTCGCCCAGGGTGAGAGTCGCGATGATGGTGGTGGCCGTGATGATCGTACCGAGAAGAGGGGGGGGGGGAAAGCAGGAGAAGGGCGAGGAGGCGGGCTGGGAGGCGGGCGCGAGTGCCCGAGCCCGCCGTTTCGCCGCGCGGGGCGGGACTGAGGCGGCCCCCAGGCGCGGTGCACTCGAGCGACGCACAAAAAGGTGGTGCCGTCTTCGCCGACATTGGCGCGTCAGCTGCCCGCGTAAGGTCTCACGTGAGCGCCCTCGTCTGCACTGTGGCGTGCCGCGCTGGCGGCCCGCGTAAGCTGCGGCGTAGGGTCGCTGCGTCATCTCGCGCAAGACCCCGTTTGGACCGTCGCTCGCCTGTGCCCGCGAGAAGCCATTCCCCGCGCCACGGGCAGCACCTGGCGCACGAGCTCCCGGGGCTACGAGGCGCCCGCGACCAAGAACGGCCGCGAGGGCCACCGGCCAGGCTTCTGCGCGAGACGGCCGCTCGCTGCAGCGCGGCGCTGGGCCACGCGCGACGCCGAGTGCTACGGCCGCGACTCCATCACCAGCGAGACCACCGTCGGCTACGGTCGGACCGAGCTATAAGATCGATGTCGGCTCGGAGAGGATACCCTCATGTTCTTCGTGCTTGTTTGATATGTTTGTTCACCCTGGGGGGTGTACCCTCGCGTGTTCTTCAGTTTGGCTGGCGGAGGCTCCTGTGTTCTTGAAGGATGGTCTTCTGTCTTGGGTCTGGCCGTACAAGATCACTACCGGCGCAACCCGAGGAGGGACCTCGCCGAGGGCGAGCCTTGCCGCCAATAGACGGCTGGCCTTCGCAGCCAGGACAGGAGGTTGCGAAAGGAAGCACGACGCCAAGATGATCCTGAGGGCTTCTGTCCAGGCCACCTGCATCACGACCGCGGCAACTAGGATATCTACGGGAGCCAACGGAGCTCCGCGTGCTGCTTCGCAGCTACGGGGATCCTCAGCACAGCTACGGGCACCATCGAAACACATATGGCCACCAGAAGCGCTACACAAGCCACAATCAGAGCTCCAAGAAGCAGCGGAGCTCCTGAAACCACCAACTCAGCCAGTGGGGCCACTACGAGAGCTACAGCAACATGCAGACAGCGGTTGCGTTTACCGCAGCAGACTTACAGGAACTAGAATACCCTCAAGGACGACTGTCAGAACTAGGAGGGTCGCTCCAACACCTACCGCTACTGGCAAAGCTACCCAGACCCACCCCCTTGAGCTTCGACGGCCACTATGCCTGGCAGCAATGCGCTAGGGCTGCAGCCAGCCGCAGCACCGACAGCCAGCTAAATCTGGATGCCGCCCCCTCCTCTAATCTCCCTCGTGATTTCGAGAAGATCTTATCTACGTAATGGCATTCGGCCCATCCCGCCACCGTGCCTGGGCTGTGGTAGAGGCCTCTTGGATGCATATGAGGGCATCTGAGAGTATTTTGGGAAGCCTCTACAGGGACTCTTGCAGAGGTCTTGGGGGCTTCTCGGGGGCCTCTTTGGGGCCTCTTGGGGCGCTTTGGGGGCCTATTGGGGCCTCTTGGGGCGTCTTGGGGGCTCGGGATCCTCTGGGGGGCTCTTGGGACCATCTTGGAGCGGAAGCTCGAAATGGCCGTTCGTGTTCCCCCTCTTGGGCCCCTCTTGGCCCCCTCTTGGGCCCTACTATTTTTCCTCTTGGGCCGTCTTTGGGGCCTCTTGGGCCGTCTTAGGGCCCTCTTGGGGCGTCTTAGGGCCTTGCTGAGAGCCTCCTGTGCAGTCCTGGGGCGCTATTGGGGGCTTCCTGGGCGCTCCCAGGAATTCCCAGGATTGCCCGGGAGACCCGGAGCCGGGGCCCTTAAGATTTTCGAGGTGGTCGACTTCGTGCCACAGGCACGGTAGCGGATTCATACCATCACGACCGTAGTGTGTACCAGGATGGCTATGGGTAGCGACCGTTCGCGAGCAGCAGCAGCGAGCGAGTTTGAGATGAGCAGGCGAATGATAGTGGATTGGAAATGGGAAACTACGCTGTAGGAACCGCTAGCTACAGCCGGCGAGGTCGCCGTCCTCCTCGAACTCGTACATCGGGCCGTACTCGCAGTCCTCCGGGGACCAGTCGCAGCACATGACATCCATCTCATCCTCCTCGTTGTAGGTAACGGGCTTGCTGTCTCTCGCCGTGCCAGCGTCCAGGATGTCTGGACGTCCCGATGGCAGTAGTTTGCTAGCTGGGGCGAAAGTATCGTCATGCACGAGCCGCCAGTAGCCGCGGGTCAGTGCTGGCTTCCGCGAGACCATCAGCAGGCATGCCAGCAGAGTGCATCCACCGCCTGATGTGCTTGCTGGAGGCCATACTATGTCGCAAGCCTAGGGCCTCGATGCCACTTCGGCGATCGTCAGCTCCCAGTCCAGCACTCACATGTGTAACCAGCGCATCGTCTAGACCATTGCGGTCCGTCACCATGGTGGCCGAGGTCTTCTGCAGCTCCATGGGGATTTCCCTCAAGTTGGTTTTGTCTGCAGGATCTCCAGGTACGCCAGGCGGCGGTATGTCGTTTCTTCGTCGGCCATGTTTCCACTCTGGACCTTGCAGCCCAAGCTTGAGCGAGTATTCTAGGACATTTCGTAGGCACCATGAGCAACGGGGAGGCTGGGGAATATTCTCCTCATAGACTGCGCCTCTCGGCCATGGACAGGATCAAGCCTCCTTGAGAGATCCCATCGCGTCGAACTGCCCAAGCGGCGTCATGGAAGGTCACGAACAGGGTCTCGCAGCGAACGATACGTCACCCCGATGCTGGCCACTGTGTGGGCGGTCCGCACGATGTTGTTGATCCTCTGCACCGTGACGTAGGTCGCCTCGTCCAGGTAGGAAGCCGTGATGCTCGTACCCGCCGAGATGCGACCCATCCCTCGGCTTGCCATGTACTGGAGTCCACCGAGGGCCGCTCTTCATGCGGTCTTGCCAGCAGGGGGTAGCTCATCTTCTAGCTCCCCGTTGGGGGGGCTTCTGCCAGTCCTCGATTATCGTCACGTTCTTGGCTGCCTTATGAAAATCGGCGGCGAGCGAGGGGGGGAAGTGAGAAGGGGCGGGCCTTCTCAGAAATCTCGGAAGTCCCCCGGCCTTCTGAGAAGTTTTCGAAGCTTTCCCCGAAGACAGGAAAAACTTCTCAGAAGGCGCGAGGGCTTCTGAGAAGTCCCGCCGCCTTCTGAGAAGGCCTTCTCCTTCTCACTTCCCCCCTTCGCTCGCCGCCAAGAAAAGCCTGCTGGATGGTACCGTCAGCGAGCGAAGCGTTCTCGAGCCCTGTGTGGATGAGCTTGGCGGCCTGCCACTGGCCCCAGATCAAGTAAACCTTGAGCTTCTTCAGGTTTTGGTTGGCCAGGACGTTGTCTTTGTTTATCCCCATGACCATGCCGTCCACGTTGACGACGGCGATGCCGACAATGTGGTGGTTTCTGTTCAAGTGTACGCAGGCATGGCTCCAGCTCCATGCGCACCCATCCTGCTGACGTCGTCCAAGACGGGAACTCATCGAACCATTCCTTCGGAGCGTCGCACAGGCCGTCGGCCTTCTTCAGCAGTGTGGCCACCTCATTGTCCTTGAGCTTCATCGCCTCACGGAGCTCCTTCACTGGCTCCACACTCTGCGCCAGTCGGGGAGGATTGGGACTGGACAACGGCTGCCTGCACGCCCCCCTGGTTGAGCCTGAGTTTGAGGTTGGCGCACACCTTGAGGGCCAGATTGCGACCTTGAACGGAACCGGTCGGACTTGCGGCTGCCATGCTCCCCAGACGGTGATGCTTAAACCCAAGTAGCAGCCGTCATTGGCCTTGCCGTCGTCATCGTCATCATCGTCAACATCATCGTTACCATTATCTTTGTGTCTACCGTTGTCGACGTCACCAAGATACCGCGCCCGCAGAAGTCACCGAGTCGCACTGAAGTGTTCGCGCGTCAACGCGGCCTGCGAGACGCGCTTGGCAGTGCCCCGCGGTCAGCGCCACCGCGGCCGCGTCGGTCGCGCCAAGGTAGCTGGCCGCTGTGCGCGCGAGCATGCGCGGGCTAGCGCGGCCGCAGGGATGCACTGGCCAGCACCAAACACTCATCGCAATCGTCGCCGCAAGGGTTCTGCAAACCGGGTTGCGGGTTGTGGGTGGGATGATTGCGCGAGCAGTTGAGTTGTCAACTCCAATTTTGTCAAATCTATTTTCACCACATGAGTTGCACCACGTAGCTTGCTCCACATAGATTGGCCCCACGCACACATTCACCACGCAGAGTGTTAGTAACAGACTGGTTTGGGACCGCCCAGGCTAACATTGCTTTCCGTATTTGTTTTTGCACTCCGATTTCTGTTGGTGTTTCGAAATTGTGTTCCCGCTGCAGCGTGGGCCTCATTTTTGGATCAGCGCTGTCTCCCGTCGTTCAGAGTGTCGCCATCGCCCCAGCTCGGGCCACTTTTTTCTGGATTCGAGTCCTTGTTCGTCGTTGTCGCCCCCTCATTTCCCCTCATCCGCCTTTCCCTGGTCCTCCTGCTCCTCCCATTTCTTCCATTCCAGCTCCTGCTGCTACTACTGGTCGTCCTCCGCCTCCTAATTCCCCTTTCCCCTTCCTCCTCCTCCTCCTCCTCCTCCTTTTCTCCCTCCTCCTCCTCCTCCTCCTCCTCTCCTGTTCTTCCTGCTCATCCTCCTGCCCCGCCTCCTATGTACGCAGCTCCCCGCTTCCGATTGCGCATAACCTGATATTGTCGTCTTTGGAGTTCCAGGTCGGCTATGGCACGCGTCCGCGGACAGAGAACACATCAGTTCGAAGGGAAGGGATACGAGGGAGGGACAGTGTGTCAGATATGGCGCGAGCGCACCGAGCTTGCCTCCGTCCCCTTCTGCTCCCTCCCATTTTCTCCTTCCTCTTTCTTTCTTTGATCGCACCCTCTCCCTCGCTCTTTCTTCTCAGAGCCCTTACCTTCTCCTCTTCGGAAGGTCGTGCGAGCAATTTGCTTTAGTAGTCGGGAGGCCCGCTTTCATGGTTATCCGATTTCGGCCACCCTACACCTCCTCAGTACCCCCCCTTCCTCTTCCTTATCCTCCTCATCTCCTCCTCATCTCAGGTCTGTTCGCACTCAGCTCGAGCTCGCGAATCCAAGAGCGGGACTTATTGATTGCGGCCGTCGGGGGCACTCTGAGCCAGGAGGCCTCTTCTTCTTCCTCCTCCTCCCCCATTCCTTTTCCTTATCAATAACTCCTCCGTGTCGCACCCCGAGGCTGGTCAGAAGGGCGGCCGGGCGTTTCGCCCGAGACTTCCTTACCGCTTATGAGCCTTAAACTACAACGCATGGCAACAGTTTCACAGATGGGAGGCGGTTGGCTTTCAAGATATGGCTCTCGCCTTAGCGCCGCGACTATTCGATTCAAGACGGATCGAGGGCGGGCTGTTTTCAACACGTGATTTTCGCCTGAGTGCCGTGCACACTCGTCCAAAACAATTGCAAGAGTTTCGCGGATTGAGGGCGGGCCGTTTTCAAAATGTGGCTCTCGGCCTAGCGTCGCGCACATTCGTGTAAACAACTTGCAAGAGCTTCGCGGATTGTGGGCGGCCGGGTTCAACATGTGGTTCTGGCTTTAGCACCGCGCACACTCGCTTGTACCCAAAACGAGAGTCAAATGGTTAACGTACCAGAAATGACGTCTTGGAGCGATTCAGGATTGTGAGGGTGCAAGAGTTACATTGAGTGGTTTCGAAATCCCAGGAATTGCGTTCCGGCACGATTCAGGATCGTCAAGAAACAGCAGTCTGGTTGGCGTTGGAATCCCGAGAATTGTGTTTTGGCATGCTCCAGGATCTTCAAACGATCGTCACCCAGCTGGGCACTTCCTCCAGTTGAGATGAATCCGTGTAGGGGCTTCTGAAGAGGGAGCTTGGAGGAAGGGGTTGTTCCGACATCGTTGACGAGTCTTGGGCTTACACTGGTCTTCCTCTCCTCCTCCTCTTCCTCCTCCTCCTCCTCCTCCTCCCACCGAAGGTCGTGCGAACCGCTGGCGCCCCCGCCGACCCGAACGCCGCGCTGGCCGCTGGCGCGCTGGCCGCGGCGACTAGCGGGTCGTGGGTCGGCACGGGCGCCGGGGCGCCGCAGCAGGAGACGCCGCTGGCTTCGTCCATGGGGTTCCCTGCTTCCTCACGGGATCCCCTGCTTCTTCACGGGGCTCTTTGCTTGACTCCCCCGCTTGCGGTCAGGAGCTTTTGGCCTCGCGTGCCGCTTCGCCAGTTCTGGCCCGCCACGCTTCGGCGCGACGCGCTCTCCACTTTCCTGGACGCCGCGCGCCAACGTCCCGAGCCTCTCCTATAGCCTCCCGCCCCGCGGAGCGGCGCGGCACGCGGTCCGCTCGAAAGGGCACAGCGTGTCGCCGGGGCCGCCGCCGCCGCGACACGCCGAGCAGCAGTTCTCGACGGCACTGCCGCCACCCAAAGTGCATGTGCGCCGCCGCACGCGCTTTGGCCGAGGAGCGGCCCCGCCCGGGGAGCGCGCGTCGTCCAGTGCACCGGGCACACCGGCGCGGGCCTGCCGCCGTTCGGCCGCGGCTTCTTGCGTCGGCATGGGGCTCCCTCGATTCTGCACGGGGGAGGCGGGGGCCGAGGAGGGAGGGAGGGACGAGGGGGGTCCCTCGATTCTGCACGGGGGAGGCTGCTTCTTGCTTCGGCGGGGGCCGAGGAGGGAGGGGCACGCCGCCGTCTTCGTCCACGGCGCCGTCGCCTCTGGCCCGCGGCTGCGCCTCGGAGGCCCTCGGCGGCCTCGGGCGACCCAGGGCGGCGGCGCGGAGGCCCCCGGCAGGCCCCAGGCGGGCCCCAGGAGGGCTCCAGGCAGGCCCCGCGAGGCCACGGAGGGGCCCGCTGGAAACTCGAGGAGGGCCCCTGAGGTTCCACAAGGGTCCAGGATTGCCCCTGGGGGGCCCAGGGACCTTGGGGAGGGGAGGTGTTGGGGGAGGAGGGGTGCCACGCGCACGCGTTATTTCTGTACCTCGCACACGCAGTCGTCAGGGGTTGCCCCTGACCTGTTGCCATCTGTGCTCGGGAACCGCTCGGGCTCATGGCCATCTGAGCACGGGACTGCTGTGTCTACTAGTGATGGATCAGGTAACCCGATGGGAATTTCCATATCTTACGCATGCTCATAGCTGCCATGGCCGCGGACTTGTGGAGCAGTGATCCTGTCGCCATCCTCAAAGTGGTGGAGGGGGGGAGAAGGGAAGGGACGGCGGGAGGGTGAGGGGGAGACGGATGGGGAGGACGTGAAGGGAGAAGGATGCGAGGGTTGGAGGGTGAAAGTGAAGAGGCAAGGGGGGGGGTCACTGGGAGCGTGAGGGGGGGGGGTCGTGTCCGCCCCGCGCCCTGTCTCCTGTGGCCACGCCAGACTTGGGGGCAACTTGGAGCCCCTTTGGCTGTCTGGGGCTCCTGGGGCCTTCTTGGGGGGCTTATGATGATGCTGCAGATGATGATGATGATGATGATGATGATGATGATGATGATGATGATGATGATGATGATGATGATGATGATGATGATGATGATGACGATGATGCTGATAATGCTGCTGATTATGATGATGATGCTGATGGTGAAAATGATAACGATGCTGCTGCTGCTGCTGCTGATGATGATGATGATGATGGTGATGGTGATGGTGATGATGATGCTGATGCTGATGCTGATGCTGATGCTGATGATGATGATGATGATGATGCTGATGATGATGATGATCACCACCTACCAAGCCACTCCAACCCAACCCGAAGGCCTCAATTTGCCCTCCATTTCCAGTGGGGGGGGGTCGGGGAACATTGAAACAACACATGGAATCCGTACCCCCCCCAACCCGAAATTCGGGTCAAACTCGGGTCTTCGGGTTGGGTGGGGGTGGTCTGGTAGGTAGTCAGATGATGATGATGATGATGATGATGATGATGATGATGATGATGATGATGATGATGATGATGATGATGATGATGATGATCGTGATGATGATGATGATGATGATGATGATGATGATGATGATGATGATGATGATGATGATGATGATGATGATGATGATGATGATGATGATGATGATGATGATGATGATGATGATGATGATGATGATGATGATGATGATGATGATGATGATGATGATGATGATGATGATGATGATGATGATGATGATGATGATGATGATGATGATGATGATGATGATGATGATGATGATGATGATGATGATGATGAGGATGAGGATGAGGATGAGGATGAGGATGAGGCTTGGGCAACTTGGAACCCTCTTTGGCTGCCTGGGGCTCCTGGAGCCCTCTTGGGGGATCATGTGGGGCTCCCCATGGGGCTTCGCCCTGCGCGCGCAGGGCGAGGCTCGAAGCGGTGCGACTGTGGCCCCCTCCCTAGACTCAAGTCAGACTTGTCTCACTATACCGGAAG